TTTATCTAATCCCTCAGGTGTCAGTGAGTCTGCATACCTGGATATCTATCAGTGAACTCAAGGATGCTGCTGGGACCTGTAAATTCACAGTAACATTCATTAGATTTAGAGAGAGATAGTCTTCATCTCATGTGTGTGCTATGCCCACTTTCTTTCATGTAAACAGTCAGATCCCTCACCCCTGTGATTCTGGCCAATTATATGATTTCTATTCTGTTCTTTGACCTATGCTTATAAAAATGAGTTGCATCTTCAACTTGGGATCTTTGGCCAGAGGCAGTGCCTTTGACCCATCCTTTATTAATAGGGTCTGTGCTCTGTTAATAAACTGTTATCTTGCTCAGAGAATTTCCTCAATTTACCTTTTTTGTTAAATTTCACACGCACCAACTACAAACTTAATATGTCATAGTCTCAAAATAGCTAGTATTTCAAGATTTACAAATCACATTACGTATGTTATTTCAGTTGACCTTCACAACAGACCTTGCAAAGTAGATGCTATTATTATTTCTCTTTTGCAGATAAGGAAACTAAGACTGAGATGCTAAGTTCTTTGTTCAGTGTCCATACCTAGTTAAGTGTCCAAGCCAAGACATGTACTCAGATCTTCCTGGCTCTGCCTCCAGTATTGTATCTACTGTGTCACCTAATTGTCTTATCAATTTAGAGCTGGACGAGACCCCAGAAGTCATCTTGTCCTATTGGCTCATTTTACAGATGAAGAAACTGAAGCCAAGTGAGGTTAAATAACTCACCCCAGGTCATACTGTCAATAAAAAACAGAGTTGGGATATGAACCCAGGTCCTCCAAATGACAAAGCCAATAGTCTTTCTGCTATACTGGGTTGCCTCCCTGAGTGATCTAGCAGAGAGAAAATTAAAACAATCTGAGACTACATTAAGAGAGGCATAGTAACTCAGGTTAAGGAAGCAATAGTCAAAATACAAACTCTGTTTGGCATTCAAAACACTTCATGCCTAGCCTTCAATCCAGTGACACTGGCCTCCAGGCTGTTCCACAAACAAGACACTCCCATCTCTCGGCTCCAGGCATTTTCTCTGGCTGTTCCCCCATTCCTTGAACATTTTCCCTCCTCTGTCCAGACTTCTGACCTCTCTGGCTTACTTTAAGTCTCATCTAAAATCTCATCTTCTACTCAAAGCTTCCACAACCCTTAATTCCAGTGCCTTCCCTCTGCTAATTACTGTATTTATTTATTTGCATGTTGTGTCCCCTGTTAGACTATAAACTCCCTGAGGGCAGGGACTGCCTTTTGCCTCTTTTTTATATCCTCAGCACTTAGAACATTGCCTGGCACACAATAGGCTTGATACATGTTTATTGATTGATTGATACTGGACACATTACATCAGGAGTACTATGTTTTCTGGGTGCTACCATCAGGCATGACACTGATAAGCTGGAGAGCATTAAGACTAGGAAGACCAGGGACCTCAAGGTCATGCCATATGAAGATCACAGGGCCTCTCCTGTGGAAGAGGAGACTTAAGTAGAATATCGTGACTGTCTTTGAGTATTTGAAGGGATATTATGTGGAAGAGTTACTAAATTTATTCTTCTTGGGCTGAGAGAACAGGCCAAGAAGCAAAGGGTGAAAATTGTAGAGAGGTAAATTTAGATAAATTAAGGAAAAACTTCCTAACAATTTGTTATTGTTCATTTTTCAGTCGTGTCTGACTCTCCATGACCCCATTTGGGGTTTTCTTGGCAAAGATACTGGAGTGATTTGCCATTTCCTTCTCCAGCTCATTTTACAGATAAAGAAACTGAGGCAAAGAGGGTTCAGTGATTTGCACAGGGTCACCCAGCTAGTAAGTGTCTGAAGCCAGATTTGGATTCAGGGAGACAAGTCTTTCTGACTCCAGGCCTGACACTGTACCACCTAATTTCCCCATGACAATTAGAGCTAACCAAAAGTAGAATAAACTTCCTTGAGACGCTGTAGGTTCAAGTAAGGGTCAACCTTTATTTGACAATTCCTTGTCAAGTATGCTAAAGAAATGATTATGTCCACTGAGGTTCCTTCCAACTTTGAAATTCTGTGAAGTATCTGAAGAGCTGTCATACGAAAAATAAAGTAGACTCACTGGGAGCAGTGAGTAGACGCTATCAAGAGGCAAATTTAGGCTTGATATCAAGTAACATTTCCTAGCAACTAGAGCTGTCTCAAAACGGAATATTTGTTCCAGAGCATGGGGCCAGGAGCAATGAGTGGAAGCTGCAAAGAGGCAAATTTAGGCTTGATATCAAGAAAAACACCCTAACAACTAAAACTGTCCAAGAGTGGAGCAGGTAGCTTCAAAAGTAGTTGGTGGATTCCCCCTCTTTGTAGGTCTTCAAGCAGAGATTGGGTGACCACTTGTCATATGTTAAGAATGCAGATTCCTTTTGCATAGAGATTGGATTAGATGGCTGCTGAAAGCTAAGGTTTTTCCAGTAGTAATGTATGGCTATGAGAGTTGGACTAGATTTACTAGAAATAAAGCTAAGCAGAACTGACATTTTCAAATTGTGGTGTTGGAGATTTTTTAGAGTCCTTTGGACAGCAAGGAGGTCAAATCAGTCAATATTTAAGGAAATTAATTCAGGCTATTCACTGGAAGGTCAAACACTGAAGCTGAAGTTTAAACTTGGGCCACACAATGAGAAGACAGGACTCATTGGAAAAGACCCTGACGTTGGGAGAGATTGAAAGCAAAAGGAAAAAAAGACGTCAGAGGATGAGATGATTAGACAGACAAACATTAACATGGACAGACTTCAAGAGATAGTGGAGGATCAATAGAAGGGCCCAGTGTGCTCTGATCCATGGGGTCACGAAGAGTCAAACACAACTACATAACAAGATTCCTTTCAACGCCTAAGAGTTTCTGTGATTCCATGACTGAGAAAAGGCTGTTGAATTGGAAAAGGAGGTTGGTGAGTTTGAAGAAAAGTTTTTGGTTTTGTTTCTGCTTTTAGAATAGACTATCCTTTATGTAATTTCAACTGTAAAAAGGAGGAAAGATATAAGAAAGTTTGGTGGTGGAGCAGGGGTGAAGAGATGAGAGCATCAAGAGAAATGGATCCAGTCAAACCATTTCCATGATTTCCTACAGTAGAAATTGAAAACTCATGGGTGGGAGTGGAAAAAGCAAATGGTGAAGATTATCAAGATGGCAGCAACAGCAGAAGCAAAAGTGGTCAAGAGTGAAAACAATATATTGATGAGCTGCCTAATGGCAGAGTCAAATTTGTGAAAGGAAGTGAAGGCACAAGAGGAATGATAAACTGTGAAAACAACCATGGATCAAGGAATCAGAAGTTACAAGTACAAAAAACAAACTCAGAATAAAATGGAAAAACAAAAGAATATGATCAGAAAGGGGAATTGGCCAGTTTAAGATCTTTGAGGCTGCATAGTCTGGGGAGATAGGAAGATTTAAACCTGAGTATGGCTGATGTAAAGTGAAAATGGATGTAAAGAGGTTTAAAATTGATAAGGAGGCCAGGGCATTAAGTCATCAGCAGATATATTAAAATTACTCAAGATAGTGCCAAGGTGTTCAGGAAAAAGGGAAGATCATAAACTTTAAGGGAAAGCCAAGGTTCAAGACAGTGATCTCTGAGGTCCCTTCTAATTCGAACATTCTATAAATCTTTTGACTTTCCAACCGGGGCCAGGAACCAGAAGGAAGATATTTTAATCGATGAGCATAGTGCTCCACAGATATTCACATATACGTATAAATAATGGGTAAGCAAAAAAATGTCATTATCTTTTAAAACAGGTCCTATTTAAGACTAGAATGTAGGAATGATAAATATAAAATAGAGTTGGAGGTGGTGAGCCTGGAGTGGTCTACTGGAGATGAAAGGGCAGTTCATTTTGGAGGTCTTCTGTTTTTTGGTGAATCTCTGGAAGTGAAAGAAAAATCTGGGATTTTCTGATAAAATACTTTTTTTCTTTTTATTTAGTCCAGACCTATGATTTCCCATATTTGTGGATCTCTTAGTATGAAAATGTTCTTTGCTGATAAAGATCAGCAAGTAGTCTAAGAGAACTGAGGCACTGAGAGTTTAAGTGAACTAACTATGGTCACAGAGACCTAACCCTAACCCAACCCTATGTGAGAACAGAACTTGTAACCAAATCTTCCTTACTGGCCTGCAAAGCTCTCTATCTATTATACCATACTGTCTTACTTACCATCCAGGACTGACTGGTGAGTGAATGCAAATTTACCCCTGTTTAGCTGGCCTCGGGCCATCTACTCTAGATATCATGATATCTGATGTCCTGACACACATACCCTACTTAGCATCATCACCATTACTCCTCCTCCTCATGACCTTTTACTCTAGGAACAGTCATCAACAGTACTACCATTGCTTCTGGAAAGGATAAGACAATTAACTTGGCTTCATCCGGCATTTTTGTGACTGTTCAGATCAAAACTTCCTTTCCTGGCCAGTATTCATACACGTACACGTACACATACACACACCCCCCCTTCTATATTATGATCACTCTTTCTTTAAATGGAATCCAGACAACTATGGTGCAGACACCCGTGTATGTGTGTGTGTGTGTGTGTGTGTGCGTGCGTGTGCATGTGTGCGTGCATGTGTATAATTATAGCTTATTGGAATATAAGCTTCTAGAGGACATGGACTATCTCACTTTTGCATCTTGATTCCCAGCATCTAGCATAGTGCCTAGCATATATAAGACATTCAATAAATGCTTTTCCACTCATTCATTTATTCCATCTACCCAAACCTAACCCTTCTTTAAATTATGAGAATTGGGACAGGGAAGTAAAGATGCAATGTGTGGAATTTGAAGTCAGATATAGTTTTGATTTTTCTGTTTTTTTTTTAAGTACTTTTATATTAAGATTACTATATGTTTTCCGCCCACGAGTCTTCACTATTTTACCCAGCGAATAAATTACAAATGACTCACATTAAAAGAAAACACACACACAAATTATACTTAGTGAAAGAACATTTATTAAATTTTGTGTGGCTATGACAAAGAAAGTAATGGAGTATTTGTACCTTTAAAATCTCTCCCATAACAATCAGGAAGCACTTAAGTATATGTTTTACAGGAAAATTCCTTTAAAAATATTTCTGATCCTTTAAATTTATATCATAGTATGTGAGGTACTGGTAAGGTTAATATCACCAGAAATGCTCAGCTTATTGATCTCACGGAAATTTTTCATTCGATGATTATACTGCAATAAGTGGGCATCATTGACAGCAACCTTGAAATGATCAATCTCAACGAGCACTTGAATCTGAAACGATATGTAAACAAACTTGGTTATACACTCCCATCTGCTTCAGCACCTAGATAACTTAAGTTCAAAGGTCCAGATTAATAACAGGGTTACTGGCCATCCCTGTGCTGACCATATTGGTTCAAGGCCCTAGAGCTCCACTATGTCATAATGACTTTCTCCATGTTGCCACTTTATGGAGTCTACTAACAGAGCTTCAAAGGCAGGGTTGAGAATTAGGATCTGAAATGCCTTCCTTTCCCCTATGGAAAGCAAGATTTTCACCAAAATGGCCAATGTAATTAGCTATGTTTCACCTCATTTCTAAAAGGTTATTTTAATCTGATAGATCAACTCCACTTTGTATGCTAAAAAAATCATGCCATACACAATGCTTTCTGTTGTTCTCAAACCATTGGCCTGGATCACTCTTTCCTTGAATGGAACCAGAGAACTATGGCGCAGGCACCTCTGTTGTTTCTAGGCGTGGATTCGTAATGCTACAGGTAAAAGAAGGGATCAGAATAGGAGGGGATAATTAAATGTAGATAAAGACAAGAATACCCAACCATTTAGAAAGGAACCACTTCTAATTTCTCTCCAGTCATATGACTGATATAGTGGGGAAAGAAAGAGCTGACAGTGTTAATCATGACGAGAGAAGGGAGGGGTTTTTAATGTTCTTACACAGCCCTGAGAGAATTGAGAATTCCAGCAAACCTCAAAGAAGGGAGAAGGTGACATGGAAACAGGCCTAGAGATATAGGAGCATATAAAAACCTACTGTTTGGAGAATCCCGAGGTAAGAACTTGATAGCAAACTGACGGCAACCATCCCTTTTAGAACATTCAAGTTTAAGCTATTTCATGTTTCATTTGCATTTCATATAAAAGACTCTTCACACTGACTTACTTTGAATGGTTTGCCAGCTTCAAATGGGAACATAGCATGTCTTTCCTCCTTTCCCCAGTTATTGTCGAATTTTGAATTACAAACTATTACTCGTCTGTTGCCCTCATTGAAGCGAGGATTGAAGTGGAAGGCCACATCATTCCCTTTCTTGAAATCCAAAGCAAGTCTATTAAGAAAAAAAAAAGACTTTAAGTAGAAATTGAGTTTAGTTACAAGGTCATACTTGTTGGACACTTCTAAATGGATGTCCTGTAAGTATTTCAAACTCAATATGTTCAAAACAAAACTTATCTTTCCCTTCAAGTCCTCCCTTTTCCTTAACTTCCTTGTTTCTTTTGAAGGTATCATCATCCTTCTGGTAACCCAGCATCAGAATCTGAGTTATCCTTGTCTCTTCCCATACCTTTACCCCTCACACTCAATCAGTTGCCAAGCCTTGCTGATTCCACTTACACAATTTATCTTGAAACCATTCCCTTCTCTCCACTCACATGGGTATCAGCTTTGATCAAGCTTTCTTTGCCTCTCAAATGGACTAGTGCAATAACATCCTAATTTGCTTCCTTGCCAAAGTCAGTCCCCTCTCCTAAGCATCCTCCATAAAACTGCCAAACTGATAGACCTAAAGCACAGGTCTGACCATGTCACTTCCTGCTCAAGAAGGTCCTTGGGTTCCCTATTGCTTTTAGGATAAGATGTCAATTATTCTGTTTAGCTTTTAAATCCCTTCTAATCTGGTTCTAGTATACCTTCCTAGTCCTATTTTTAAATTACTCTAATTTGTGCACTCTATGTTTCAGCAATACTAGCCTATTTGCTATTCCTTATATATGATATTCCTTCTCCCATTTCCAAGCCATCTCCCTCAGGTCATCCCCCATACCTGGAATACGCTCCCTCTTAAACTCGGCTACAGAATCCCTAGCTCTCTTTAAAGCTAAGTTCAAGTGTTCCTTCCTACAAAGTCTATTCTGATTTTTCTTACTTCCCATCACCCCCAGGTATTAGTGCTCTCCTTCTCTCTGGAAAGTAATTTAAGGGGCAGCTAGATGGCATAACGGGTAGAGCACTAGCCCTAGAGTCAAGAGGACCTGAGTTCAAATCTGGCCTCAGATAAGTGTCTAAGTGACACTTACTAGCTGTGTTACCCTGGGCAAGTCACTTAACCCAGATTGTCTCCCCCCAAGAAAGAAAGTAATTTACATGGTTTTGTATTTCGTTTTCTACGTGTGTTATTTTCGCCCAATAAGCTCCTTGAGGCAGAGACATTTTTTAAAAATCTTTATATCCTTAGCTCCCAACACAGTGCCAATGAAGCTAAATAAATACTTGTTCAATTGAATTGTCAAATGACTATCAACTGTTCAAGTTTTATAAACAAAGGAGATCATTTTAGTTGAGGGCATCACTTTCAATTTTACTGAGAAAAGGAGGTGAAAATGGAGCTCATTGTGGGCTCCCTCTTTTCCTCAACCATATATCTCAAACTCTGCCCAGCATCATTCTTTATTTTCTCCTCCATTCTCTGATATAGAGGATTCAGGTGCTTGTATTAGCATGGAGGAGCAGCTAGGAGGCACAGTAGATAGAGCATCAGACCTGGAAGCAGGAAGACTCACCTTCCTGAGTTCAAATAAATCCAGCCCCAGACACTACCTGTGTGATCCTGGGCAAGTCACTTAACCCTGTTAGCCTCACTTTCCTCATCTGTAAAATGAGCTGGAGAAGGAAATGGTGGTCTGTTACTTCTGCCAAGAAGACCCCAAATAGGGTCATGAAGAATCAGATACAACTGAACAACAACAATTAGCATGGAGGAAGCTGGCACATCTTTAAAAGCTGAGAAGTCAGTCCTTTATCTGCAAGTACTGGCAACTGGTTGGTGCGTGGATTGAGCTCCAGGCTGGAGTCGGGAAGACATGAGTTCAAATCTGCCTTTTTCTGGCTGGGCAAGTCACTTAACCACTGTTAGCCTCACTTTCCTCATCTGTAAAATGGGGATAATAATAGCACGTACTTCACAGGACTGCTGCGAGGATCAAATGAGACAATAATTGTAAAGTGCTCACCACAGTGCCTGGCATACAGTAAGCACTGTACAAATGTGAGCTATTTTTATTTTCTCTACACACTTGCTATCCTTCCAATATCTGGTGTTTATTGTAATCCATAACTTCAACAATTCATATCCTACAATAAATCTCACTGTAATAAGGAACAGTGTGTTGGTTTTGCTTTCAACCTTTGTAGATAAGAGAGGAATGTTTACCACATAATTATTCATTTAGAAAGCATTAGTGCTAATGGACAGGCGAGAGAATGTGATCATTCCCCAGCCATTGCAATGAGCCTCACAAACCTAGAATAAATTCCCAGGCTCAAAAGGCTATTGTGGTTCCCTAGTCCCTTTAGACTAAAATACAAAATCCTTTGTTTCACACTGAAAGTCCTTCACAATTTGATTCCAATGGACCTTTCCAGACTCACACTGTTCTGTCTCATGCACTCCATATTCCAGCCAAACTCATCTCTTTGCTGCTCCCCTTATACAAACATTCCATCTTACACAGGCAGTCCCCTTTGTCTGAAATAATCTTCCACTTCTACTTTTGGGGAGAATCCCCTAGCTTCCCTCAAGGACCAGCACCAGTACCACCTTGTACACAAAGCCTTTCCTTATTCCCGAAGTTGTTAGTGCTTTTCTCTTAAATTACAGTATTTAATATATTCTTTCAAAATACTTTTGTCTTGTATCCCTCCAGTAAAATATGAGCTCCTACACTCAGCAGGCACTTTAAAATGCTTGTTGAATTGAATTTTCTAAAACAGTCAGTTAATAAACATTTATTAAGCCCTATTTTGTGATACAAAGAAAGCAAAAGATGGTCCCTGCCCTCAAGGAAACTGAAATCTAATGGAGGAAGACAACACATAAAAAGAAACTGAAAAGCAGGGAAGAAGGGAAGAGAGGAATGGACAGGGAGGGTACCCAGTGAGCAGGTGGGAAATATAATGAGATGGCTGCCCTGGGCACCTTCTTTAAATGGAGAATCTAGGAGGAACTCTCTGATGTCCACCCTCAAAACCTGTCAGCAAAAACAGACAGCCAAATGAATTGGAACAGGGTTATGAGAAAGGAGACAACAATGTGAACACTAGATAAAATGTTCTGTATATTAGGGCCATGATGTTGAATGTTTGTGAGTACATTTATGTTAAATTTGTGACCGTCTCTCAAGGAAAAGGTGAGAGGGTCTCTAGCTTTAAAGGCTGAAAACATGACCACAGAAAATAGTGCATTGGCTGTTATTGAACTTCAGGCAGCCAGCCTGTATACAAGGCCAGTACCTGAATACTTGGCCTCCAGAGGAGAAGCCCTGCAGAAGAACAGAAGATAGCGCTACTGCTGCTGCTGCTAACAATAACAACAATAATAATAGCTAACATCTACAATTAATAATCTCATTTGATTCTCACAACAACTCTGGGAAGTTGGTACTATTATTATCATCTCCATTTTATAGATGAGGAAACTGAGGCAAAACAGAGCCCAGGATCAAACAGGTAGTCAGTGCCTGAGGTCAGTTTTGATTTTTTTTTTTTTTGGCCAGGCAATCCGGGTTAAGTCGCTTGCCCAGGGTCACACAGCTAGCGAGTTTTGAGGCCACATTTGAACTCAGGTCCTCCTGACCCCAGGGCTGGTGCTCTATCTACTATGCCACCTAGCTGCCCCCTCTGAGGTCAGTTTTGAACCCAGGTCTTCCTGCAGGGAATCAAGAAATTCGAGGTAACTTGAATTTCTTGAGGTTGCTTCCTGGAGCCATTAATTTCAGAGGCAGATCAGATTTTGAGACTCTCTGGTACCTAAGGAATGAAATTTTGCTTCTGTGCCTATGGAAACTCCAATTCCATGCACTGTAATTTATATAGTTACTGACTCCACTTTGTTTAGTATTTTATTTTTCCCAGTTACATGTAAAAAACATTTTTAATATTCGTTTCTAAAACTCTGAGTTCCAAATTCTCTCTTCCTCCCTCCCTACCCCTACCCCCATTAAGAAGGCAAGCAATTCAATATAGGTTAGACATTCGTAGTCATGCAAAACATATCCATAATAGTCATGTTGTGAAAGAAAACAGACAAAAAAAACTTCAAGAAAAATAAAGTAAAAAGTATGCTTCGATCTGTATGCAGACACCATTAGTTCTTTCTCTGAAGATGGGTAACATTTTTCATCATAATACTGATTCCACTTTGACATTTCACTTAGTTAAGGAGATTTGGTTTTATTTTATTTCCTGCAGGAATCAAAGTAAAATGAAAGAGATGGGGCCATCTGTAGTTTTTTGACACTAAGAGTAGACTTTAATTTAACATTTAATACCTTTTACTTAAATATTCCAGCAATTGGACTTCAAGTTGAATGTATGGAGGCTGAACAATTGATGAAATCTTTCTAAATGCCTTAAATTACAATATATACTGCCTAAAAAAAATATGGAAAATCTAAAAAACAAAAGCACAAATGCTGCCTTAAAATCACAGTGTAGTGGCAAGAATGCTACTTGACCCAGAACTTATAAATCAATCTGTGGCATAATAACAACAACATTACATATTTTATCTAATTTGAGGCATATAATAACCCTTTAAGAGAAGTTCTCTTTCATTTTACGGAGAAAGAAACCGGGGGGGGGGTGAGGAGGTAGGTGGAGTAGAGCACTGGCCCTGAAGTCAGGAAGACCTCAGTTCAAATCTAGCCTCAGACCAAACACTTGACACTTACTAGCTGTGTGACCCTGGGCAAGTCACTTAACCCCAATTGCCTTAAAAAAGAAAGAAACTAGGGTTAAATGAATTGCCCATTATCATACAGCTTTTCTGGTTGTTAGTCGTTACGTGGTGTCCAACTCTATGTGAACCCATGGATTTTTGTCTCAGCAAAGATACTGGAGTGGTTTGCTATTTGCTTCTCTAGTGTGTCCCCATTTTACAGATGAGAAATTGAGACAAATAGGGGTTAAATGACACCAGGTCACAAAGCTAGTAAATATCAAAAGCAGAATTTGAACTCAGATCTTCTGGGCTATAGGTCCAATACTCCATCCACTATGTCATTTGGTCTCTTTAATATGTTAAAGAGATAGTGAAGCCTCTTTAAAAGCTGCATTTTACTGTACTGAAAATAACCCTTCTTGGGGTTGAGGATAAATAGAAAGAAAAAGATGGGAAGTTAAATATAAAATTTCTATGATCAGCACACCACCTTTAGTTCTTAAAATAAAAATCCTATTGAAAGTAAAAATTAAACATTTTCAACTTTTCCAAATGCTAACATAAAAATCATATTATCATTAATTCTTCTCTTACTTGTTTGCATTAGGTTTCGTTGTGCCCATAATGGTTATTAGCATGCGAGGCATAATTCCTCCTGGCAAGGGAAGATCATAAGGCACCATCTGCAAATGAAAAAGATATTTTACATATATATATGTGTATATATATAGAGAGATACAGATCTATGAAAAGCAACCTCCCAGACACTCCTATCTCCCTAAACTTCTCTAGTCACCCAGATTCTGTTCCCAGCCCCTCCTTCCAACACCCCAAAATTACTTGGCTGTATATGAGATTCATCCTGGCCCCCATTTAAGAGCTGAGATTTCCTCATGCCTGCTCTTCCTTACAGGCATCACTAACGCTCAGATTTCTCAAGAGTCTAGACTGTATGGTCCATCTCTAATAAAACTTTGTCTTTGGCTGAAAGAAGACTTGGGTCAAATTCATTCGGGCAGGATCCATGTGTTGTGATTTCAAGGTCCCAGCACCCTAAGAATCTATACCTCATCATTGATCAATCAAACTGGCATTTATTAAGCAGTTACTATGTGACAGGTACCATGCTAAGTGCTGGGGATGCAAACAAAAAGCAAAAACAGTGTCTGTCCTCAAGAAGCTTAACTTCTATTGAGGAATACAACATGTGAATGATTAAGCACATGTGAGATACATACAGATATATACAGATGAAAGGTAACTTTTGGGGAAGAGACACTATCAGTGGACCAGGAAAGGCCTCCTGCAGAATGTGGCATTTGAAATAAATTCTGGGGGCAGCTAGGTGGTGCAGTGGATAGAGCACTGGCCCTGGATTCAGGAGGACCTGAGTTCAAATGCGGCCTCAGATACATAACACTTACTAGCCGTGTGACCCTGAGCAAGTCACTTAATCCCGTTGCCTAGTTCTCTCCTCCCCAAAAAAAGAAAGAAAGAAATCCTGAAGGAAACCAGCAATTCTAAGAGGAAGAGGTAAGGAGAGAGAATATCAGACATGGAGGACAGCAAGTAGAAATGTAAAGAGCAGAGAGATAGGATGTTATTAAGAACAGCAAGCAGGCCAGAATGCCTGAATTCCATAGTTCACGGAGGGTAGTAATGTTTACAAAGTCTGGAAAGATGAGAAAACAGTTAAGAAAAAAAAAGATAAGAAAGATAAGAAAATACCAGATTATGAAGAACTTTAAATACCAAAGAACTCTATATTTGATACTAGAGGTAACAAGGCACCACTAGATTTATTGCTTAGGTGAGTGGTCAGGTCTATACTTTTAAGAAAATCACTTTGGCAACTATTTGGAGAACGGATTAGACTCGGGGAGAGGCTTGAGACAGGAAGACTAATTAGCATTATGACCAATTATAATTCAAGAGAATTGATGATGATACCCATCTCCTAACTGAGAAATGATGGAACTCTAAAGTGCAAAATGAGACATACATTTTCAGATACAGGTAATGTGGCAATTTTTTCCCCTTGACTACGTATATTTGTTGTAAAAGTTTTTTCTTTCTTTTTTTTATTGGACAAGGAAAGTTAGAAAAGAGACGGAGGTCTATTGACAGAGTGGCCAAGAAAAGAAAGAAAATAGCAGAAAATGAAAGAAAGGGGGAAAAGATCTTTTTTTTTTAATGCACAGAAGAAAGCAGAAGGAAATAGTGACAATCAGGATAGCTTTGAAAGTTACAAGTTGAACTTATTATATACTTAAAAGGAAAAGCAAACTATACCTAACAAAGCACTGTAATTCTATTTACAATTCTCTTTTTATGTTCTACTATGTGTATGAAATGCTTGTTTTATTTGGTGGAGTTTTTTTAAGTCCAGTGTTAAAGGTGAGGCTCCATTAATTAAGCTATTCCACTTCAAAGTAATTACTTTTGTTAGGTAAGAACATTTATAGATGCAATCGATCAATAAGAACTGAGCTGAACAGGGCCTATAAGACTCCTTGAATCAATCAAAGCCATGATGTAAGAGATTTAATTACGCCCTGGGGAACTTGTATAAAAAGCTGGATCTCTCTCAGAAACAGAGAAATTCTGAACGTCTGGAAGTAGAGAAGAGCGGGGTCACACAGACCTCAGCCAGAAAGAATCAGCAGCCCAGATGACACTTATGTAAGGAAAAAGAGATAGTGGTACTGAGCCATGACAGAAAGGAGGGAGCAAAGGACAGAGCTGTCACACCTATAAGAATCTTGGAGCACAAGATTCAGGTTGACAGCACTAGTTGTACCCACTTACTCAAGGGCTAAGGGAAATTCCAGGAAAAAAAAAAGTATTGCTTTCCCTCTTAGAATCTGCTTATCCACAGACACTATCTGGCTATCTGAATTTTGCCTTAAATACAGTGTCCAGGAGTTAACTATCGATAGATAAAAATTTAAATTAAGGCAGAGAGCCATAGCTTAGCTTAAATGTTAGGAATTTTCCAAACTTAGAGCTCAGAATGATTGTGATTATATTCACTGATTTTCATCTAAAATAAACTCTCTAAAGTCATGGAGATGGGGACCATATGGATGTTAGGGGCCATTACATTGCCCCTAAGCCTTTTTAAAAAATTAATTATAAAAAAAAAAGTTATAAGATTTTACAACAGAATTTAAAATGTGCACATATTTTTAAAAGCTATCAAAATAGTTTAGGTGAGAGGTGATAAGGGCCTAAATTAAGGTCATGGCTCTAAGAGTAGAGAGGAAATAAATATGAGAGATTTTGTGGAGAGAGAAATGACAAGATTTGGTAACTAACTATATATGAGAGTATAGATTAGAGCAGTTTTACAGGACAAGGTAACAGTAGCTCACATTTATACAGTCCTTGAAGGTTTACAAAGCACTTCTTCTAACCCCCATTACCGTGGGAGGGAGGTAACAGATATTGTTAACGCCATTTTACAAAAGAAGAGAGTACAATGTACACGTCAGCCCATCCTTCCCTGAGTAAACACCTAAAATTTGTAAAAACCAACATCCTTTACTATGGGATTGGCATGAATTATTGCAGCTTCTAGAAAATCCAATTTGATAAATGCAATTCTACAAATATTGGTTGTGTTTATCATTTGCAGAGCACTGTGTATTGGGAGAAACATGGTTTAAACATCTTTTGGGGAGGGGGTGTAATCTTTCACATGCACACACACATCAGCATGATGTAAATAAAGTACTATATGTTAAGTCCATTAGAGTGGTGTGAAAAAGCGTTACGTGATATTTTGGGGGGAAAGGCCTTACTAACTATAGTGAACGATGTTTTCTATTTTAGTCTTCCAAATATTCCAATAGTAGACATTAGACTTCCACCACAGATTGTTTGACCGCTAAAATTAGAGGAGGAAGTAGAATATCATATTATAATGTGACTACAGAGTAAGTCAGATGTTGGTCCATGTACCTTTCTTTAAAGAGAATAAAACGACTGAGGCAGTGAGAAGAGTTGGCCTCAAAACCAGAAGACCTGGGTTCAAGTTCTGCTTCTTGACACATACTGGCTATGTGACCCTGGACAAGTCACTTAATTTCCCTGTGCTTTAAGTAACTCTCTAAGACTATTAAGTTGCAGAGAAGGTACTGATCTGTATTGACAAAGGGAGTTTCCTCACATAAGAAGTTCCCTATACTAATCTAGTAGCTATTCTTAAAGACATGAGAAGAAAGGAGTGCTAGGGAAGCTGCAGTTTCCAGGCATATGGTTAACAGCATGGACATTTTAGGTCTTCTTGTCCAGTATTTCACATACATATATGGATCTTGACACTTTTTGCATGTCTGAATTACTGACCAGAGTTTGTTTTCTACAAAAGCATCAAAAATGACAGTTCTGCTTGTACTGGACTACAACTTTGCCTTTTCTTAGGCTTTGTCAAATTAACAATAAGTCAGACACCTGGGATCATTCAACTCGAGCTCACCAGTGGGCCTCCCATAGGAGGTGTTGGTCCACTAGGGGTAACCATGGGCCCTGAAGATGGATAAGCTCCAGGAGCACTAGGATGTCCTGGACCAGGGTAGGGCCCAGGCCCTCCTGGACCAGGGTAAGGCCCAGGCCCTCCTGGACCAGGGTAGGGCCCAGGCCCTCCTGGACCAGGGTAGGGGCCAGGCCCTCCTGGACCAGGGTAGGCCCCAGGCGCTCCTGGACCAGGGTAGGCCCCAGGCGCTCCTGGACCAGGGTAGGTTCCAGGCGCTCCTGGACCAGGGTAGGCCCCAGGCGCTCCTGGACCAGGGTAGGTTCCAGGATATCCTGGGTATGCTGCAGTACCAGGGGGCTGGTTTCCCCAACCTTGTGGCCAACCTTGTGGGTTTGGATTTTCAGATGCAGATAAGGCATCATTAAGCTGGAAGAAAGAAGAAAACAACCATAAGAATGAAAACAATTTTTATAAACTTTTAAAATAAAATCAGGGGAAGCAAAAAATGGAAACCGAAATATTTCAATCTAGAAAATAGTAAGAGCAAGGATAAAAATAAAATTAATGCATGTGAATTTTGTTACTTATTGTGTTAGCTGCTCTAATAAAGTTTTTGTTTGCACAGAAGGTTTAAATTATTTGCTTCCTGGATTGGGTCTTTTATTATATATATTATTATCCCCCGTTATTGCAATTAATTCATTATTACTTCTAGATACTCTTGTATAGGATTTTAAATTGTAATCTCAAACTTTAAAAAGTCAGTGTTAGAGTGCATCAAAAATTGCTGGGCTTCAATCCAATTTTATATTGCCCAGAATATTGCTCCATTTTAGCCAATGGGTGCTATGCTCTCTTCTTTCTAATGCTTTCCCACTGATCTGGGTTACTATTAATGACTCATGAACTTCTTTACCTAATTTATGTTCCTTGAACCTGTGGCTAAAAAAACCAAAACAAAACAAAACATCAACTGTAGCTAACAAGTCTTAGCGTGGCTGCAGTGAAAAGAGGGCCCCAGAATCACTGGCAGGGTAATTAAAAAGGGAAAGTCTAGTTATAAAAATGCCTTACCTTTAGTAGAACATATTTTAGGAATAAAAATATGGAAATGAAAAACTTACAGAAAATCCGTCAGCCATTTTCCTAAAAATGAAAATAGAAAAGTCCATCAATATCTAATCTTAAAATCCCATTTACAGACAGAGGAATCTTACCATTAAGAAACTTTCTCTTTCTCGTTTTACGCCATTTTTAGACTAGTCTATCCTAAACTTTGGGCAACTAGGTGGCACAATGGATAGAGCGTTGGACCTGGAGGTAGGAAGATTCATGTTCCTGAGTTCAAATATTACCTCAGACACTTACTAGCTGTATGACCTTAGGCAAGTCGCTTAACCCTGTTTGCCTCAGTTTCCTCATCTTAAAATGAGCTGGAGGAGGAAAAGGCAAAACCTCAAATAAGGTCACGAAGAGTGAGACATGACTGAAATGACTGAACAAGAAGCCTAAACTTATAAATACCTTGAAACATACAGAATCCCCGTTTTTTTCCTTTACTCTCCTTCATTCAACCAATATTACTCTCCTAACTTTTATAACTACTGATAAAATCTGAAGTCAGCCTTTGACACGGTTGATAACCCTCTCTCTCCTCTCTAGGTTTTCAAGGACACCACTGTCTCCTGGTTCTCCTCCTACCTATCTGACTGCTCCTTCTCAGTCTCCTTTGCTGGATCCTCATCCAGATCATGCCTTCTAACTGTAGGTATTCCTCAAGGTTCTGATCCTCTTCTTTTCTCCATCTATACAATTTCACTTGATGATTTTATCAGGTCCCATGAATGTAATTGTGAACAATTCTCAAATCTACCTATCCTATCTCCCACTGCCTTTCAGACATTTCAGATTGGATGTCAAGGAGACCAAACTCAGTATTTCCCCCCCAAAACCCTCTCACTCTTACCTGTGTTATTACTGTAGAGGGCAATGTCATCCTCCCAGTCCCTTGGGCTCACAACTTAGCTGTCATCTCTCATTCCTCACTATCTCCCACCCTCCAGATACAAGCTATTACCAAAGCCCATTAATTTCACATTTGTAATATCTCTTGAATACACCCTCTTCTGTCTTGTGGTACTGCCAACAAACACTCCAATACAGGCTCTCATCACCTCATGCCTGGACTGCTGGTAAGTCGGCCTGCCTCGAGACTCTTCCTACTCTAATCCATCTTCCATTCAGCCATCAAAATGATTTTCCTAAAGCACAAGTCCAGTCATGTCACCCCCTTACTCAGTAAACTCCAATGGCTTCCTATTACCTCTAGGCACAAATACAAAATGCTCTGGTATTCAAAGCCCTTCATAATCTAGCCCCCCTCGTATCTTTCCAGTTTTCTTACACCTGTGAAGGGAATTATAATTTTTATAATAGTCAATAGGATATGTGTAATGAATATACTAATAGACTAGCTTTTTTCAGAATTGCCTCTCTTGTGAGAGAGCTCACAACGCAGCTTAAAATGATCGAATAAACTTTGACAAGGCTCGTAATCACTGGCATCCTTGTGCCTGCATACCTAAAGTGAAGCAAACCCAAGACTGTAGAACCTGTTCCCATCACAGAATTCTGGTCCTGTGACCCACCAAGTAACAACCCCCAAGGCCTTGAGCAATATTGCTCCCACAGGACTCCAGAATTGTTGTATTGTCTTCCATTTGTGAGATTGTTGGGGGAAACCACTCTGGCCCTGGGAAGGATTTTTAATGATCCACCCTCCCCCCTCCTTTCCCACTTGTGATTTATGTGTATAATCTCTGTCTTCACTTTGGCAGGGTGCAATTCTGATCAGGAGACTTCCCAATTTGCAAATCTGTTCCTCATAATGAAACTAATTAATTAAATGGCTACCAGATTACTGGCACTTTGTCTATGGACTACTGTTTCATCATTCTCAGGTAAAAGACTGACTCGGTAAAATTCTATTAACACCTCACAATACACTCTTCGATCCAGCGATACTGGCCTCCTTGTTCCACAAACAAGATGCTCCATCTCTTGGCTCTGGACATTCTAGGCTGTTCCCTATAACTGAAATATTCTCCTTCTTCATCTCTGCCTACTGACTTCTCTGGCTTCCTTTAAGCCTCAACTAAAATACCATCTTCTATAAGAAACCTTTCTCAACTCCTTTTAATTCTAGAGTGTTCCCTTTTAATTATTTCCTATTAATTTTGTATATAGCTTGTTATATATATATTTGTTTGCTTGTTGTTTCCCTCATTAGATTTTGAGCTCCTTGAAGAAAAGGATTGTCTTTTGCCTTTTTTTTTAAATCCCCAGTGCTTAGCACAGTGCCTGGCACATAATAAGCACTATATAAATGTTATTATTATTATTATTATACTCTTTGACTAAGCTATTACCACTACCATACATATACTCCCAAAGAGAAAAAAAATCCAGAAAGTAAAGGTCTCATCTGCACAAAAAAAACCACCATTTATATTAGCAGAACAAAGTAGGTGCTCATCATTTGGGGAATGGCTATAGGACACAAATATAATGAAATATTACTGGACCATAAGAAATGATAAAAGGGACAGATTTATGGAAACTTGGGAAAACTGTATTTGAACTGACGGGAGGATTATGTGAACAAAACCAGAGTAACAATTCATGCATTAACTACAATAACGTAAGGGAGAGCAACTTCAAGAGATTTAAGAACTGTGATTGATCCAATGACCATTCATGACACTAGAAGATTCATGATGAAGCAGGTTTCCCATCTCTTGGCAGGGTGGTGAATGAGACATATAATTTCAGACATGGATAATGTATTAATTTGTTTATTTGTATTTGTTACAAGAGAGGGCTTTTACTTGATAGGAATAGGTGGGTAGTGATAGTCATACAAAACAACAAAAAAAGGCCTTATAAAAAAAAGACCTTATCATCACATGGCCCTTTCTAACCACCTAATTTCATTTACCTTTCTAGGTTTCTCTTGAATCTTCTGTTTGTATTTCAAAGTTCCTACTCAGCTCTAGTCATTCATTAGAAAGGCTTGAAGGACCTCTAATCCATTAAAGTTCTCTCTGCAGTACATACCTCTATTTCCTGACCAGTGTTTTCCACTGGTCAAGTAACTCCTGTTCAAAGCTACGTGGCCAATTTTTAGAAAGGAGTGAGAAATCTCTTCCCCTACCTCGGGAGTGTTCTTCATAGGTAGCACCTGGCCTGTCTTCCCTTGAATTGCCAAATTCAGTCCAGGCCTTAACCTCTTTAAAGCCCTACTCAGCTAATTTGTTTCCAATTTGTCCAACTTTTGCTCATCCCAATAAGGCTCAAAGGTAAGTGGTTAAACTTCAGCAAAGGCATTCACAGATTAACACTTCATCATCCTATTTTCCACTCTTTGCTTTCAATGACTTTAACAACCATGGGTGAGGGAGGAACCAAAACTCCCGCTGTTCACAGAGGGAACTGCTGAAAAGCAGAAGAAAAAACAGAGAATATCTAGGTCCTGATTTGTTTGAATAAAGAATCCCATTAAGTGGTGAGATGCATTCAAAGTCACACTATTTAAAGTTATAATTATATATTGTTGTTGTTGTTTAGTGAGTTCGGTCATGTTCGGTTATTTGTGACCACACTTGGGGTTTTCTAGGCAGAGATACTGGAGTGGTTTGCCATTTCCTTCTCCAATTCATTTTACAGATGAAGAAACTGAGGCAAACAGGCTTAAGTGACTTGTCCAGGGTCACACAGCTAGTAAGTGTCTGAGGCCACACTTGAACTGAGGTCTTGACCTGGTACTCTACCCACTGTACCACCTAGCTTGCCCCTTTGCCAGTTAGCTGCCCCTACTCTACTTTACTTTGCTCAGAAATGTACCCTGCCCCTTCCAAACAACATAGGCACCAGAGAGCTAAGTCCAAGTGTTCCATGACTAAATGAATTTGGCAATCATTGCCCACGGCCATATTTTAGAGTCATTAATCTGCGCGTGTTGTCGTGTGTGTGTGTGTGTGTGTGTGTGTGTGTGTGTGTGCGTGCGCGCGTGCACGTGTGTGTGCATGTAAAATAAAAAGTTCAAAGTAAAAAGTTCAAAGTCAGTTTTGAGAGTTAGAAAAATTTATATTATTAATTATAGAACTATCTCATTAGCTGAGTTCTCATGGACGTACACCTCAAACTATAATAATAAAGTTAGGTACCATTGAGATTAGAACCCATGAAGAACCAAATAATGAAAATATGTCCAAATTTAGTACTTATTCTCTTTCTATCATCCACACTCAGCATAGTCACTTTACTTTCCATCTTGGTCAAATGAAATACAGAAAATAAAAAGGGATGAACATATGTTTCCTCTATCCTTTTGTTGAAAGTCTGAGGGTTTTCTTTAATGACACATGAGACAAGACCATAAAAGGAATAATTACACTCTGTTCTTGTCTCAAAGTATCATACTTGGTAAGATTTAAAATTTCATTTACAGTTATTTCTCTGAATTATTCTTCTATGCCTGAGCTAAAAGCTTTAGAACTAGGGCCCTCAGAGGACTTCTAAACCACTCCGCTTATTTTATAGTTAAGGAAACTGAGGCCCAGGGAACTTGGCCAAGGATACATAGGTGTAAGTAGAAATGAGATGTCAGGTCTCAGCAACTACAAATGTTTTAAAAAGTAAACAAACTGAAGACAAAATGTTAGTATTTCATGTCTCTTGGTAAACTAGATGACTCAGATGTTGACTCAGAAAATTCCATTTTGCATAGTCACTATGGAAATTAAAGCCACATTTTAACCAAGGGAACTTGAATTTCCAATCAACATGCACAAGTATTACTATGTTGTTTTGCTGACCTCCGAATTTTATTTTTCTTTTAGGAGAAAGTTTCTAAGCTTATTTTGGATCCAAATCAAGGTGAAAAACTTTAGAACTTTTTCTAGAAATCTTACACTTAATTAAGCAAATATATTCCCATTTGCCTAGCATATTTCTACCTCTATCTTTTTCAGATGAGTGATTTATGTTTAAAGAACTAATCAAAACAAGATGTAAAAAGCCCCTCATTCCACAAAGACATTATGATATAAAGGAAAGAACTCTCTATCTGGAGTAACTAACCGTGGCTATAGGAATGTGACTTCAAACAAATCACTTAACTTTTCTGTGTTTCAGTTTGTCCATAAAATCAGAGCGTTGGATGGATGACCCCTAAGGTACCTTCTAGTCTATGATTCTAGAAATTTATCCATGTAAGAATTTTTTTTCTAAGTCTGGGACCTAGCAATGAAACCACAAAGTCAGCAAAGTATTGTCTGTTTATAGAGACACTAAGCGGGGAAATTATCATGTGATTAGGAAATCACATGATAATTCTGTGTAATTTTCAGATAAGGAAAAACAAACATGAGTCAGTCAGAAATCTTTCATTTTAATAAACACAATTGCCAGGTTACCCCTTTAATAATAAATACCTCTTTGTAGTTCAATACAAGCCTTTGCCTGCCCAGCAATTAATATTACATCCTGGTCTTTCCATCTCATCCAATTACCTGGGTTCCCAAGAATATTTCTGCAACTCCTGCTCTTGAAGAAGCCTCTCCGTTCTTTATAAAATATTGTCAGAATACCAAAAAGTTCCCTTACATGTATTTTCCCAGAAATCCCGGGCCTTACTCTACTACTCCTCCCACCAAATAGCTTTGAAATTCTAGGTCACAATAGAGATGTTTCTACTTCACAGCAATTAATGAAACAGAGAGTTCCTCAAAGAAAGTCCAAAGAAATTAGAAGAGATAAGAATTTAGATGAAATAATTTTAATTCTTTCTGAACTTAAACAGTTTAGAATCTAGGAGGGAACCATGGTACATATACAAATAACTATGGTATATAATCAGAACATAGGATGTTACAGGACATAAAAATAAACATGAAAGCTTTTTTAATGTAACTTTCCTTAAAAAAAAAAACAAAAAAACTATTAAAAGTAACAACAGTAAGCCAGATTGTCTTCTTTTTCTCGAAAATGCTGTTTCTTAGGGCTTTAAGGACTTCCTCTACTGTAAGGATGTTATGAGTGAAAAGACAGCAGGATTTGTTTTGTATTTGGGCCAAAATTGCATTAGAATGATGTAACAATTCTGAGTGCTGGAAACTAATTAAAACACCCAGGAGCAAGAGACTCCCCTAACAGATGATTTCTAACAGCAAAGAAGACATTTCTAGCTCTACAAAAATGTAGATGCCAATAGAAAACTGATAATTTTTAAAGGATTTGTGAGTTTCTTCTCTGTCTCTTCAAGTAATTGAGGGGAGGAGAGGGGGAGAACAGAAAAAAAAAAACAAAACACCCAGGCTGTTATTACTGATTTTCATGTGCTTTGATAGTCTTCTTCAATATCACATTATAAAACTTAGTAAATGTAGCTTTTAATCCTTTAAAAATTTTTTTTAGCAGGTAGCCTTTTATAAGGCATATAAAACAAAGGCTTCTGCTTTCAGGACATTAACTTCCCTGAGACTGAGAATGTGGTTTTTCCATAACTTCTTCCTGAGTTCCATTTAAAACGCTGCCTTTTAGGAAAAGCTTGCTTATGTTGTTGCTTTCAGTGTACTGCAGCAATCTGCTTTTTTTTTTCTGTGCTACTAGAACTTACTGACTGTGTGATCCTGGTCAAGTCACTTAGCCCTATTTGCCTCAGTTCCTCATCTGTAATATGAGCTAGAGAAGAAAATGGCAAACCACTCCTGAATATTCACCAAGAAAACCCCACATAGGTTCATGAAGAGTTGGACATGACTGAAATGGCAAAACAACAAAAGAACTTATGAAAAAGGGTTCATTTGTTTCTTTCTATATATATTACATATGTGTAAATACAACTAAAAAAGAAAAAAAAGAAAATAAAGTTTCAAAAATAGAATGAAGTAGTGCTAAGGTAAGACAACTGAGATAATACTTTAACAAGATTTTTTTTCCCTTACAGTAGGATCACAGGTTTTAGAGCCGGAAGTAATGTTGCAAGCCACCGAAGCCAACTCCTTCATTTTACAGAACAGAAAACAGAGACTCAGACTTACTTGCTTTGAGTCATTATCTAAGGCAGTGTTTGACCTCGTCTTCCTGACTTCCAAGTCCAATAAACCATAAAGGAGGAAGAATTGCTCTGTGGATTGTGTTTCCAATCCACACCTATCCCAGCCCTGTTCTATTTTCTTCCCCACCCATCACAACCCCAACCCAAGGTGAAATGCAATAAAGACGGAATTTAGAAGTGATATGGAAGTCTCTAGTAATCAGGGAAGGATCTTCTGTAATTATACACTCAGAAATTTATGAATGGGGCAGAGAACTATGTAGTTCCCCTCAGCACATTTAATAAATGTATTGTCTAAACTAACCTAAGTGGAAAGATAAACTAAATCCATCAAAGGAAAGTAGATATCTTTGGCTGAAGGTCCATGAGTCTACAGGTTTATAGAAGTCAGTAAACATAACATGATAAGGTTATTGCTGCCTGTTGATTTTCTTTCAATGCAGGTTTAAGATATAGCTAGTGGGGATAATAGTATGGATAACAGTATGGAACTAAACGCCACCAGTTTCATTATAATTTTGATGAGTGTGGGTCCCTGCCTTCAATACTGATCATCATGCATTTACTAAGCATTTATTATATGCCGAGTACTATGCTGGACAAAATAAATTACTTGAGTATCCCTACTACATGTTGCAAAATGTTTCTTTTTCATAAACTTTGCTGATAAGTGAACTGATCGGTTACATTAGATCAGCCTTAATTAATGAAGCATCAGTAAATGCCCTGTCATTATACTTCCTTTTCTATGAAATCTTTAAGGGAAATCTTAGCTATAAAATCTTTTCCTTTTATGGCATGTCCCACGTTATGGAAGAAAGAATGGCCAAATTTGGAATCCTAGAACTTCAATCCAAAACCTAGTTCTGCTACTTGCTAACTTATATACTCTCTCTGGATGTCCTTAATCGCAATTTAAGGCATTAGGATGAGATTGCCATTAAGGTTTCTCTAAGTTCATCTGCATTAGAACCACCACCTAAATTTATCTTCTCAGGAATTTTTGTCAATAAAACTATGTGGTGTAGTGCTGGACTTGGAGTTAGGAAGGCCTAGGTTCAAATCTGCTTCAGACACTAGCTGAGCAACCTTGGGCAAATCTCTTAACCTGTCTTCCAGCCTCAGTTTCATCATCTGGAATATGGAAATGGCATCCACCTTACAGGGCTGTTGGGAGGATCAAATAAGATAATACATGTAAAGCACTATATAAATGCTAGCTGTTATTATTATTAGCTATTAAAGCCTCTCTTCCTCTGCCACACATCAGAAAAAGAAGTTTTACATATCACGTCAGAGGAGTACAGAAGATGAATCCTTAGTTTCATTAAAAATGTCTTAAATTTTATTTCTAAGATGTAGGCACATGTGAAGCATTTTTGGAAAAGATCTACGAAAGTATCCCTAACACAGATACCATAGGGTGACTTCTCCATTTCCACAGCTACTTTTCCTACAGCAGACTCTTCTTACTAGAAGCGAGTAACTTACAAACTCTGGCCATGGTGCTGCTGTCATTAACATTCAGAAATACTCAAGATCTGTGAACAGTAGTTGAATCCATTTATTCCTGAACAGTTTTTCAACTATTTCTTTGGGTTAAAAAAAAATTCTACCTATCTATTATCCCTGTTTGGCCCCACGTAGAACAAAAAATCTGGATTTTATTTTGGTAGAAAAATTCAACACAACAAAATAACTGTTGGTTTCAAACATGCACTTCAATCAGAGGGAAATAAGTAGGTCTAATTCCTTTGAAAAGGAGGAAGAGAAGAAAAAATAAGAGGACAAGATAAAGGAAAAGTTTTTGGTCAAAAGAACTTTTAGGCATAGCAACTAACTGACACTTCTAAATCTTTAAAGTCAAGTTCTGAAACTAAGGTCATCCTTCACAATATGGGAAATGTTAATAATTCCATGAGAAGATAAACCTGTATTTTAGAAACTCTACAATTTGAAAAGAAAAGCAGATAAGTTGTTTCCTATTGTGGAAAGGCTTACTCTAAACTTATAGAGAATTAGTCAGAATTTCAAAAAGCAATGGTATTTTTTTTCTGATGCCTGGTGTCCATGAATACCTGGATGTGATTTGCCTCTCACTATCAATATCATACCAGAACCTATGCAAGATCCATCAGCCCTCTCTCTGTTTCCCTATCTTTGGAATGCTAGAAGTTGTATTAGTAATGTCAAGATGCACTGATTTCCTTGAAACTTAAAAATGGGAAGTCATTTTATAGTTATTCTACAGTATCTTGAATGGAAAACTGAATACTTTGAACATCTGTTCAAATGGTTGACTTTTTGTTGTTGTTATTGGGGGATATTAAAAGGAAAAGGGAGAATGAAAAGGAATATACAGTCAAGTATTCTAATAGCATTGGGAAGCAATACTTTATGGTCCCATGCTTAGGTGTCTGGCTGGATACTGGTATTTAGGAGCCTCTAGCAGGTCTAAATTTAGAACTAAAATAGATGTTAGGGGTCTTGTCACCCCACTATCCTTATTTTACAGATGAGGAAACTGAGGACAATAAAGGTTAAGTGAGTCACTTGAGATCTCATAGTAGTAATTGGCACAGTTGGTATTTAAACTCAGGTTCTCTGACTCAAGATACACAACTCTCTCCTCTTTTGTAGTTCTTTCTCTTCTGATAAATATTGCTTTACCTCCTCATTTTCAGCATTTAACCCTCATTCTCCAGTTTGGGAACATTTTCAAATTCTGTCACTTAAGAAAGAGGCAACAATGTGTAGTGGAAAGAATGCTGAACTTGGAATTTGGAAGACCTGGGATCAAATCCTACCTTTTTACTTGCTAGATCGTAGGCAGGTCACTTAACTTTTACATAAAACCTTACACAACTTTTTGACTGAGTCACAGCTTGGTGAGTAGAACAAGAAGTCCTCTATACTGAAAAAAATCACAGATCCTTTACAAATTCATTTGAGGAACTGATGACTGAACAAACCCTTGTACCCACTTTAAAAGCACCAGACTTAGCTTTCTCCCTCCTACTAGTCAAAGACTAAAGAGGCACCAATCCCATCCTCAACACAATGAGTCACCTTTTACAGGGTAATTCTAAACTTACGTTTTCAAGAATCCATGGTACAATGACTGTTTTTGTATATTCTTTTTTTTTTCTTGGCTGCCATGTTACGACCTGATGCTGGGCCCGGTATGCATAAATTCAGAGAATTATAAATTTAGAAATGGCAAGGACTCAGTGAGTCTAACATCATCCCCCTAGCTGTGTGACCCTGGGCAACCCACTTAAACTTTGTCTGCCCCAGTTTCCTCAGCCATTAAATGGGGATAACAGTAGCACCCAAATCAAAGGGTTGTGGTGAGGATCAAATAAGATTATATTTGTAAAACACTTTAGCACAATGCCTGGCACATAGTTAAACGCTTAACAAAAGCTCGTCCACTTCTTTTCCCCTCATTTTATAGATGAGAAAGCTGACACCCAGAGACCTAGATCACGCAGGCCTTAACTAGAACAGACACAACTTGAACGCAGGTCCTGCAACCTCAAGTCCGGTGATCTTTTCACTATATCACTTCTGCCTCTCAAGTTAGACAGCCGAATCTTCTGATGAGCTAATCCTGACCAAACTCAAAAGAAAAGTCATGTGAATCCTCTTCCCCATCCCCAAGTTTCAAAAGCACTTCTGCAGTTATGAGATTCTACTGGGTGTTTCTAGGTAGGTGTGATGCGGGCCTCGGTTTTAAGCATTAGATTTAATTTAAGCATTTAAGCATTATTATCCTAGTAGAACTTTTCCATGTCCTTCAATCTTGGAGGGGGGGAGGGGAATCTTGCGCTCTGCTTTAGGCCGCTGTTGGATTACACTTGCCACCAGTTCATTACTTCTAAAGTGTCTGAGGAGGATCAGAGGCTAGGTTGCACACGGGTATGTTCGAGAGTGAGAGGGGAAGGGTACAGGGGACTGTTCCACTACGGTGAACCGTAGCGGGACACCTCGAAAGCGCTGCAGCTGTCCTCTGCCCTTGGGCGTGTCCTGCCATCCTGCGCCCAAAAGGACCTCCACCCCACACCTCTAGAATTTTAACTACAACAGCTTCAGCAAGTAATTGAGTCCTTGAAGCCAGGTCTCCTTAAAGAATATCCCTCACTAAAGACAGCTAAAACTTATCCCTACAATAGCTTTAACACTTCGAGCCAGGAAGGTGCCCCTATACCTAGTCACCTCTGTCTCTATTTCCTCTGACTTTGTCTCTGCCTACATGGCTCCCCACCGTGGCCCCATCCCAGAGACTACGGGGGAAAGTTGAACCTTAGCAACTCCTGGAAAATCTGCGTTCTAGTTAGCTCTCGGAGGTGCCCTCCTCCCGTTCCAACCCTCGCCCGCTGTGCTGCCCCGCTCACCTGGTTTGGTGGCTTTTGTCCCGGTCCTGGAGTGGCTGAAGCGGTCACTTGCTAGAACTAGACCAGCATCAGCTACGCAGCACAAATAGAACCCAGCCCCACCATCCAAACTCCGCCCTGCCAACCTAGGAAGCAGGAGTGGGCGGGGGCGGTCCTGGGTGTGGACGGGGCCTCTGGGCACTGAGGATTTTGTAGCTCAGTAAGTTACAAATCCAGAGCAATCCCAGCTTCGGTTCTCTAGGGAGGGAACAGCTGCCCCAGGCAGGGATCCACCCTCGTATCTTTAGGGAAGCTGTGATTCGGTGTTTAACTGAGCAAACGTGAACGTGTCTTCCGTGCAGTACAGGACTCCCTAACACTTAAAGCAAAGTGGAAAGTTGAGGCCTACTCAAAAGAAAAACTCACTTTGGCGTGCTTTTTATTTGCTTTTGATTTTTTTCTCCTAAGGCATCCAGCAAACTATATATCTTCACATTCATTTTCAGTGCTTTCCGGTAATATGTAAACTTAACTGAGGGATCTCTGTCCAATGGTCTTAGTTATGTGAAATGTTTGTGACATGTCCCAATTTCCTTTCTTCTTGCATATGGTTTCAGAATTGGTTGGGCAACAACACCCAGATGAAAATAGTTATGCGTCTCATCAATTAGAGCTCCGAATATGTTTAGTAAGGAGGAAAGAGTTACATAAATCACCTTGGGAATACCAGAGAAGAGACAGATTCTGGACAGGTTTCATTATGTATGCATGTGAAAGGACTTTACGGCTATTGAAATATTTGTAATGATATCTGAGCGAATTTTTCGTGGCTGAGCAGGATGAAGTCACGAATTTTGTAGACTAGTATTATTATTGTTAAAAGTTTGGATTGCATTGGAAATATGGCATATTTAAGATATAGGACCTTGGAAATGTTGATTCACTCACTATTCACCAGACTGCCAGAGACTAAGGACTGAGTTTGCTCATTAGCAAAATGAGAAGGTTGAAGACCTCACCTACTAGTGCAAGGACTCACTCTTCCACAAAAACTGCTGGGAAAACTTATAGGTAGTCCGGCAGAAATTAGGTTAAGGTCAATATCTCACACAAAGTGCAAAGATAAGCTCCAAATGGATACCAGACTTAGATATAAAAGGTCACATTGTAAACAAATTAGAAGAGCAGGGAAGAAGATAGACTTGCTAACTCTGAGTAAGAGAAAACTATATCAGAGAACATAGCCAAACAAGGGATAAAGAAGATCACAGAAGAAAAAATGTAAAATTTTTATTAAATAAAATTAGAGAGAGGGGAGGGCTCTTGATAGAGTTTCAGTGCCCAGGTGCTCACACCCACACTTGCATATATACAGGCGCTTGTGAGAATCTCATAACTGCAGAACACACACACACACACACACACACACACACACACACACACACACACACACACCCCACTGAAAAAAAAAGGAAAGAAAAGAGGAGCATTGAAGCATTTTTTGAAATAATGCAGTAGAGAACAGAAGGGCCAGAAAAACAGACAAGCGTAACAGTTTTCAAAGTTACTGAATTTTTGTTGAATTTGTTAAGAGGTAGAAGACAGCTGTTATAATACAAATCTGGAGTTTCACATACAATCTTTTTCTATCCTACTTTATAGTTGGAAAGTTTCATTTTATCTGGCATTCAGTTTAGTGGGTTTTTTGTTTTTTGTTTTTTTTAATGAAGGGGTTAGCTTAGCCGATCTCTGAGGTCTCTTCCAGTTTTGAACTTAATTATCTTATTGCAACAATAAGGTCCACTAGAGCTGTGTTGGTCACCCTATACCTCTCCACTAAAGTGGCCCCTGTCAACTCAGACTTATGCATAAAGATTAGGTTCAATGCTAGTGAACCTAAACTCCAAAACTGAATTCTCTGGCTTTTTTCTGTCCTCACCCTAACCTAAAATTAGATTTGGCTCACGTCACCTCCAAAGGAGGTAGTATAAAGATATTCAATTTACAACATAAATCAGGTCCTGGACTATTATTTATTTCCTCTATACAAAAAAAATTCTAAAAACACAAAAGACTGACAAGTGTTTGCGTTAACAAGTATCTAAACAAGCAGCAGCAATTTATATTATCCTGTAAGGTTGATACTTAAAACACTGAGCTTGATGTTATAGGTACGAACCTCTTAACTTCACAAGGATTTATAGGACTTCTCTTGGTATTTAGGCTTAACTAATATCCAAAGATTTTAACTTAACTCTGCCCAAAATTTTTAGTTGTGTGATATGTTCATGAAATGTCCCAGTTGTTTTATTTTAGGTTCTTTTAAAAAAAAATTTATTTTTAAATATAAATTTATTTATTTTTAGTTTTCAACATTTACTTCCACAAGATTTTGAGTTCCAAATTTTCACCCCATCTTGTCCCTCCCCCCACCTGAAGATAGCATGCATCCTGAATACCCCTTCCCCTAGTCTGCCCTCTCCTCTATCTCTCCCCCTCTTTCCTTTTCCCCTTCCCCTTCTATTTTCCTATAGGGCAGGATAGACTTCTGTACCCCATTTCCTGTATTTCTTATTTCCCAGTTGCTTGTGAAAACATCTTTTTAAAACGTGTGCTTTTAAAATTTGGGTTCCAAATTTTCCTTCCTCCTCCCACCCACCTCATTGAAAAGGCAAGCAACTCATATAGGTTATACATGTGCAGTTATGCAAAACACTTCCATAGTAGATATGTTGTGAAAAACTAACTCTATTTCCCTTAATCCTATCCTGCCCCCCCCACCATTTATTCTATTCTTTCTTTTGACCCAGAGGTATTTGCTTCTAATTACCCCCTTTCCCAATCTGCCCTCCTCTCTATCACCCCCCTGCTCTCTTGTCCCCTTCTCTCCCTATTTTCCTATAGGATAAGACAGATTTCCATACCCAATTGAGTGTGTGTGTTATTCCCTCCTCAAGACAAATCTCATGAGAATAAGATTCACTCCTTCCCTCTAACCTTCCCCCGTTTCTTCTCCACTGTAAGAGCCTTTTCTTTTCTATTTTTTGTGAGATAATTTACCCTTTCTACCTCTCCCTTTCTTCTTCTCCTAATATAATCTCCTGTCATCCCTTAATTTTATTATCCAGATATGACCCCTTAATCTTCAACTCATCCTGTGCCCTCCATCTATCTATCTATCTATCTATCTATCTATCTATCTATCTATCTATCTATCTATCTATCTATCTATACATACAAACATATAATTTTTTCCCTCCAACTACCCTAATACTGACAAAGGTCTTGTGAATTATAAAAATCATCTTTCCATGCAGGAATGTAAACAGTTCAACCTTAATAAGTCTCTTATGATTTCTCTTTCCTGTTTACCTCTTCATGTTCCACTTGAGTCTTGTATTTGAAAGTCAAATTTTCTATTCAGCTCTGGTCTTTTCATGAAGAATGCTTGAAAGTCCTCTATTTCACTGAATGACCATTTTTTCCCTGAAGGATTATACTCAGTTTTGCTGGGTAGGTGATTCTTGGTTGTAATCCTATCTCCTTTGCCCTCCAGAATATTATATTCCATGCCTCGTGGTCCTTTAATGTAGAAGCTGCTAAATCTTGTGTTATCCTGATTGTGTTTCCACAGTACTTGAACTGTTTCCTTCTGGCAGCTTGTAATATTTTCTCCTTGACCTGGGAACTCTGGAATTTGGCTACAATATTCCTAGGAGTTTTCCTTTGGGGATCTCTTTCAGGAGACCATTGGTGGATTCTTTCAATTTCTATTTTGCCCTCTGGTTCTAATATATCAGGGCAGTTTTCCTTGATAATTTCTTGAAAGATGATGTCTAGGCTCTTTTTTTGATCATGGCTTTCAGATAGTCCAATAATTTTTAAATTCTCTCTCCTGGATCTATTTTCCAGGTCAGTTGTTTTTCCAATGAGATATTTCACATTGTCTTCTATTTTTCATTCTTTTGGATTTGTCATGTCTTGATTTCTCATGAAGTCACTAGCTTCCAATTGCTCCATTCTAATTTTTAAGGATTTTCTTCAGTAATCTTTTGGACTTCCTTTTCCATTTGGCCAATTTTGCTTTTTAGGGCATTCTTCTCCTCATTGGCTTTTTGGACCTCTTTTGCCATTTGGGTTAGGCTATTTTTTAAGGTGTTATTTTCTTCAGTATTTAGCAAGCTGTTGACTTGTTTTTCATGATTTTCTTGCATCACTTTCATTTCTCTTCCCAGTTTTTCCTCTACTTCCCTTACTTGCTTCTCAAAATCCCTCTTGAGCTCTTCAAAGGCCAGGAACTGAGTCATATTTTTCTTGGAGGCTTTGGATGTGGGAGCTTTAACTTTGTTGTCTTCTTCTGGTTGTATGTTTTGATCTTCTTTGTCACCAAAGTAAGATAATATAGTCTGACTCTTTTTGCTCTGCTTGCTCATGATCCCGGCCAATTACTTGAGTTTTAAACTCTTTGTTAAGGTAAGAGTCTGCTTCCAATGTGGAGAATGTACTGTCCCAAGCTTCGGGGGTTTGTACAGCTGTTTTCAGAGATGCTTGTAGGGGCCTGTAAATTTTCAGTTCTTCCAAGGTGGTATGATAAGGGATGAGGTGTTTACTCCTTTCCTGGCCTGTGCTCTGGTCTATTAGTGACCACAAACACTCCTTTCTGTCCTGGAATTGTGAGGAAGGTTTCCTGTCCACAGCCACTACAAGCTCCACCACACCAGCGCTCCTCCTCACCCCAGGACCGACACCCAGAATTGTGACCCAGATCCAAGCACGGGCAAAGCAAGAGATTCCTGCCACAGCACTGGCAAAGAGATCCCTGCAATCCCTCTCTGATCAGCCACTGGAATCCCCCTCAGTCTGTGGGCTGGAAGCTCAGGAGGCAGCCACTGCGCCGGGGCAGTGCTCAGTGATCTGCGATCAGGAAGTGGCTCTGAGACCTAGCTCCTCTCTCACTGCAGAAACAGACTTTTCCCACTGATCTTTTAAGTTGTCTTTGGCGTTTGTGGGTTGAGAAGTCTGGAAGCCGCCACAGCTGCCCTCGATTCAGTTCTCTGAGGCCTGCTCCAGGTTCACTGCAGCCTGTGTGCCCACACCAAACTGCGCTCCTCTCCCCGCCCGGTGTAATATAGCTTTCTGATCAATCATCCGGGTTGTCTTGAGCTGGAAATTTGCTTCACTCTGTCTTTCTGTGGGTTCTGCTGCTTTAGAATTTGTTTAGAGCCATTTTTTATAGGTATTTGGAGGGGTTTGGGGAAGAGCTCAAGC